AGTGCATGGAGGGAAGGACACAGGGAAGAGGTTAACTATGGGGAGGAAGTGGGAGGGGAGCTGTTGCATTGTGGGAAATTGCAGTCAATGTCATGAGATAAAGTGTATGTGAGCTGCTGTATGGAAAATGAATTTGCTCTGTAAACTTTCACCCAAATCACAATAAAAATTTAAAACAAAAACTGCTGCAAGTGCAGGTGAAAAAAAAGATCATATGGCTAGTAGGTATGTTATAGGCAGTCCCTGACCAGAGTCCACATTCTAAACCACTACCTTATGCTACCTAAGAAATAATTCAAGTACATGACAACTTTAGTTTAAAGGGATATAAAAATATCTATGTGGAATCTAATCCTCTTGAAAAGGAAATAATATTGCTATCATAAATAGGAAAAGACAATGTAATGAACTAGCCCTAATTGCAAATAAATGAGAGCCACTGAAGTACTGACACAAAACAGAAAATGTTCCCTGCCCTAAGGGAAAGAATAAAAGTTGTTTTAGTCTCCTACCATGTCAACATTTGAATATGCAAACCCTGTAGGGGTAAGATACCAAAGAGGCAGATGAGCTAGCAACTGAGGTGGCAGGCCCTCCCTTTCTCTGCCATGTGCTCAGCGCCTGCTTGGGACCATTCATAGACACAGCAGGAGATGCACAGTGAAATATGCTGGATAATAGTGGTGTGTAAAACTCATCTTTTTACACATTCCATAAACATTTACTAAGGTCCTGCAATGTTTCAGGTATTGTGCAAACTGCTAGGAATGCTATGGCATAAAAGAGAACCCTACTGCACTCTGAGCTTAGAGCCTAGTGGATATGCAGAAAGCAGCTGCTCAACAGTGTGGTGGGCTTTAATAGGTAGAGTGCAGGCCAGAGCTTAGAACAGGCACTCAATATTTTTTTCACTCTTTAGAGATGAGAGTGGAGAGGCAACCATAATGCAGTGGCAAATATTTTCCTGAAGAGACTAGGATTATAAAACCTCACTGTTCAGTGGCTAAATTACGGACTGCAGGTAATTTGAAGTTGAAAGTGAGAAAGAACTATTGCTATAGCCCCAAAAATCATCTATTCTCACTCTCAACTAAAATATAGAGATGGTTGGAGAGAGAGAGAGAAATAATTAATTATGTTTTAAAACTTAGGGAACTGGCAGACTCATAAATTCAAAGCAGCCAGCTGTGGCCCCTTAACTCTGGGAATTTTTGACTATTCTAATGAGGACATGGAATGAGGGGTATCATTGCTGATGTCAGATGGATCTTGGCTGAAAGCAGAGAGAAAACCAGAAAGATGTTTACCTGTGTTTTACTGACTATGCAGAGGCATTTAACTATGCACATATAACAAATTATGGATAAGACTGACAAGAAAAGGAATTCCAGAACACTTAATGTGCCCATGAGGAACCTGTACATAAATCAGGAGGCTGCCCTTCGAATAGAACAAGGGGACACTGCATGGTTTAAAATCAGGAAAGGTGTGCATCAGGGTTGTATCCTTTCACCATATTTATTCAATCTGTATGCTGAGCAAATAATTCAAGAAGCTGAACTATATAAAGAAGAATGTGGCATCAGGATTGGAGGAAGATTCATTAACAGTCTGTGATATGCTGATGACACAACCTTGCTTGCTGAAAGTGAAAAGGACTTAAAGCACTTACTGATGAAAATCACGGACTACAGTTTGCAGTGGTAGCTCTGGTAGTATATGGATTACACCTTAACAGAAAGAAAACAAAAATCCTCACAACTGGACCAATAAACAGCAACATGATAAATGGAGAAAAGATTGAAGTTGTCAAAGATTTCATTTTAACTGGATCCACAATCAACACCAATGGAAGCAGCAGTCAAGAAATCAGATGTATTGCACTAGGCAAATCTGCAAAAGATCTCTTTCAAGTGCTGAAGACAAAAGATGTCTCTTTGAAGACTAAGGTGCACCTAACCCAAGCCACGGTGTTTTCAGTTGCCTCATATACAAGTGAAAACTGGAAAGTGACTAAAGAACACCAAAGAAGAGTTGATGCCTTTGAATTGTGGTGCTGGCAAAGAATACTGAAAGTACTGTGGACTGCCAGAAGAACAAACAAATGTGTCCTGAAAGTGCAGCTGAAATGAGAATAGCCAGACTTTGTCTCACCTACCTGAGTCATGTTGTCAGAAGGTACCATTCCCTCAAGAAGAATTCATGCTTGGCAGAGTGGAGGGTCAGTGAAAAAGGGGAAGACCCTCAATGAGATGGACCGACACAGTGGCTGCAATGACGGGTTCAGGTGTAGCAAGAATTGTGAGGGTGGCAAACGACTGAGCAGTGTTTTGTTCTTTTGTACACAGGGTTGCTGTGAATCAGAGCTGACTCAACAGCACCTAACAACTACAACAAGTCCACATGATGAGGCACTTAGGTGCTTGGCTACCTTGAGATCTTCACAAATTAGCTGCAGCACTATACAGTGCCTTCCACTGTGAGCTGGGCCCAGCCCTGCCATGTAACAGTCTCTACATCAGCTGAATACCTACTGTAGCCACTGCATTGAGCACAGACTGAATTGAGGCCACAGTGAACGCTGGGAGACCAGCTGGGAGGCTACTGTAATAATCCAGGTTTGTAGCAGGTGGGTAAATACAGGAGAGTTGAGACATGCTCAGAGTCTGCACAGAACTTGCTGAAGGTTTGGTTGTGGGAAGTGAAAGAAAGAAGTCATCAAGAGTGACTCCCAATTCCAATGTCTTTGGCCTTAGCCACTGGAAGAATGGAGTTGCCAGTAACAGAATCAGATACAACTGCAGGAGGAGCAGGCTTGCTGGAAGAGGGGTAGGGCAGGAGAGCAGAAACTCCGTTTGAGATGTTGACTTTTCATACGGATGTGGCTGTGGAGTCAATGTGTGCTGGAGTCCTGGGGCCTTTAATGTTGAAGAAGTCAAGGAGAGGAGGAGGAACTAGAAAATATGACTGAGAAGGATCAAGTAGAAGGGACAACAGGCTATTGAGGTGTGCTGGAAGCCAAGTTATGAAAGTGTTCAGAGAACTTCATCTATGGTGTCAAATGCTACCGGAAAGTTAAGTAAGATAAGGAAAGAGAGTGGCCTGCTGGATTTAGCAACATGAATGAAGTCATTGATACCCTTGATAAGAGCAGTTTATTTCTTTCCTGTCTCCTCAAAGAATGAAAACTCCATGAGAGGAGGATTGTTTTGTTTCAGACTGGGTCCCTAGTTTTCTTGTTATGTTGATGAGGCAATACCAGTGTAAAGTGTGTACTAATTCTAGTAACTTCGGAGTTATAAAAAGAGATTAGACGAAGATGTAAAGCACAAATGGGAAAACAGATGCCATGTGAGGATGGGCAAGAATCAAGGAATACATGGGAAAGAATCGACATAGTCATAACCCTGATTTGGATTTTGTGCCTCCAGAAGTGTGAGAAAATAAATGTCTGTTCTTTAAAGCCACTGACTTGTGGTACTTGTGTTGTAGCAATACCAGCAAACTAAGATAAAAAAAAAACTAAACTCACTGATGTCAAGTCGATTTGACTCATAGCAACCCAACCCCTCCTTGAGTTTCTGAGGCCATATCTCTATGGAAGTAGATTGCCCAACCTTCCTTCAGAGGAGTGGCTGATGGGTTTGGACCACCAGCCTTCTGGTTAGCAGTCAGATGCCTTGGGCACACCACCACCGAAATTAAGATAGCACTCAATAAATATTTGTTGAATGAATCAATCCTTAATAATAATAGAATCTTAACATACTACATAAAAACATTGTTCTACATCCCACTTTGGTAAGTAGTGAGTAAGGTCTTGAAAGCTTGCAAATGAAAACTGTATAACATGGATAATTTGAAGGACACTGCTGAATGAAATAAGTCAATCACAGAAGGACAAATATAGTATTAGGTCATTATTGTAAAAAGTCAAGGAGAAGTTTATATATGGAAGGAAACATTCTTTGTTGGGAGGGGAGGGGATGGAACACTGCAAAAAAAAATGCATTGGCCTGTGTCAGTTTAGTTTTGTGTATTTCACTGTACATAAATTATATTTCAATAAAATATTAAAAAAAAACTTGCAAGTGGCCATCTAGATGCAATGCTGGGTCTCTCCTCATCCAGAGCAAAGAAGAATGAAGAAAACCAAAGATGCATGGAAAAAATTAGTCCAAGAAACTGGTAGACCATGCGATCCTCAGTCTATATGACCATGAGACCAGGAGAACTAGATGGTGTCTGGCTACCACTGTCAACCACTTGGAAAGGGATCAGTGCAGGAGATCCTGGAGTGGGATAACAATGTGGAACAAAACTCAAAATTAAATAAATAATAATAAAAAAAAAAAACAGTTTTGCTGGTGAGACCGCTCCCCTCCCCCCAGACTATAGCTCCTAATTACCCTTCAGGTCTGGAACTGAACTTACTCCTGTGGATTCCAGCCAAACAATAATAGACAGGCATACACTTCTAACCCACTATCAGAATCCAATTCTCACACTGGAAATTTTTGGCCCATAGCCAAGAAGGACAAATAATAAAGTGTTTTGGTGGCAAAGTCCAAAAATAATGAATATGTGACAATACGTAATTGTTAACCTAACAAGAAGCTTTTTAACTTATGCTCAGTTTTTCATTCTATAACTGTCAACTACCTCCCCAGCCTGGTTCTCTGTGACTCCAAGAGAAGGAAGTAAAAAAAAGTTTTGCCACACATTTCAATGAGAATAATGTCTTCTAATAAGAGTCCCTGAAGGGCACACGGTTAGCTCTTGCCTGCTAATGAAAAGGCTGGAGGCTCAGGCCCACCCAGTGATCACTAGGAAGAACGGTCTGGACATCTACTTGGGAAAAATAAGCCACTGAAAACCCTATGAAGCAGAGTTCTACTGTGACACACATGGGGTCACCATGAACTAGAACTGACAATTTTTTTATTTTAATGGCCTCTAATATTTAGATAGCACTGAGCATTCATCCCATTATCTCTTAGTACTGCTGAAAAATTTGCAGTTAAACATTTGACTTACACAGTTTTTTCTAGGTCACATGGCATGGAGAGGAATAAAAGGATAGACTGCTATTTCCCAGGGGAAGTACGTACCATGGCCAGATCTATGATCCACTTCTGCAGTGTGAGGATGAACCAAGAAGACAAAAATCTTATTAAGTGTTAAGGGAGATAATGGTGCGACTGCTGCCAGCTCCACCACCTGCCAAACCCCAGCCCAAAGTCTTCTCATCTCACGGAGACAAAAAATGACCACAGAAGACCACAGAGAATGTGTAATTTGGATTCTGCTAGAACATTTCTTATTGGGAAAAGACAAAAATGTTGGTTTCAAGTGAACATTTGCTTAGGGTCCAAAGGAACAGAAGCAGACTGTTGCTGCTGTTCCAAAAAAAACCAAACCCAGTGCTGTCAAGTCAGGTCTGACTCATAGCAACCCCTCCTTGGGTTTCCGAGGCGATATCACTACAGAAGTAGATTGCCCAACCTTCCTTCCAGGGAGTGGCTGGTGGGTTTGAACCACCAGCCTTCTGGTTTGCAGTCAAGTACCTTAGGCACTATGCTACCAGAGCTCCCGTTGTTGTTCGGTGCCCGCAAGCTGGTTCTGACTCGTAGCAACATAATACAACAGAATGAAACACTGCCTGGTCCTGCACCATCCTTACAATCCTTGGTATGCTTGAGCCCATCACTGCAGCCACTGTGTCAATCTACCTTGTTGAGGGTCTCTCCTTTTTCGCTGACCCTCAACTTTACCAAGCATGCTATCCTCCTCCAGGGACTAGTCCCTTCTAGAAGCAGATTATAAAAGAAAAATACAAATAAACCTGTGTTCATGGACTGTTCCCTAGTGTTGAGAACATTCCAAACTGCTTCAACTGCCCACTTAATTCCTGCCCATGCAAACATTTCCAATTTAATGTCCAAAGTTAAGCACTTCAAAGAGAGGTCCAACATTATGGAATACGAATATTCTGAAAAATTGATTAAAGTGAAATTCTGTTTACTGACTTCTCCTCTTCCCTATTAACTCCATTGTGAAAATGATCCAGCTGAGGTGAGCAGTGGTGGAGATGGGAGGAGCCACATTTCACTTTCATTCTGGAATTTTCAACCTCTGACTAGACTCCCACTGGCATGTCGATTCTGACTCACAGCAACTCTATAGGACAAAGTAAAACTGCCCCACAGGGTTTCCAATGTCTTAACTAGAGCACAATTTTCACTTCTGAATAAGCCATCATGAATGAACCCAGACCCACTAACAAGGAGTAAGCCGGCTAGTTCACCAGGTGGGCTAGCAGCATTGTTTTAAATCATCAGTTGTCAGATCCTGCCATTATTATTATATCAAGTATTTTGGGGACATTTGGAGCAAAGATAAAAATGTCAGAAATAAAGAAAGTTGGACATTGTTGTTTTTAGTAGAGGGTGCATACTTAAAACAGGTTCATCAGTGAGTTAGATACTAAGCCTACATTCACTTGGCCTGTTAGCAAATTCTAGTTCTGGTGAAGACTCCAGGACACTCCACCCCCACTCCCCCATCTCAGGAGAAAAGGCCCGTGCTTCCTGCCTTTCCAACTCCCACCTTACAGGAAGAGGAACAAACTGGTCTCAAGGTCCTGGGGGGGGGGGAGTTGCCAGGCAGAAATTGTACTAAGAGCATCTGGGGTCTATATGGGTATATCTGCTTACATAGTGTCTTGCATTTGGGCTTCTTTTTGTTTGTTTGTTTGTTTAACCAAAAGATACACATCTAAAGGATCCTGCTTAGTAATGATCCTGTTAGTAAATAACACATTCTGATCACATTTCTGATTCTCAGATCTTAAAAGGATACACAGCGATGAATGGTGTGGCCTGTTTCACATTCCCATTAAAATGAAAGACACAGAGTAGGAGGATGATATCTGCAAAAGAAAGTTTCTGTGTCAGAGGGAAGAAGGGAGACATGGGGCAGGCATGCTGGAGTCGAAGGGACGATTACCTTGTGCTATGAGAATGGGGTATTCCAGGTAGGTTAGCAGTGGGTAACCATAGTAATGCTGGTACCTGAGGAACACCAGGAACCTGGGGAAGAGGAAGGAACACATTAACACACACTGATCCAATACACAGCAGTTAAGGCCTGGCCAGGTACCCAAGAATACAGGTCTATTTACATAATCCTAGCAGTGGCGGTGTAGGAGCCTAGAAGTATTAAAGAAGAAGTTTTAGATTTAAAAAGATAGATTGTTAATTTAATAATCTCCAGGAGTTTGAGTATCTAGCACCTGTTGAGCACTGTGCAAGGAGTGTAATATACATGATCTCCATCATCAAATCACTAGAAAAGGACATGCTGTTGGGGGCCAACAAAAACAAGGGAAACCCTCCATGAGATGGACTGACATAACAGTCAACAATGGGCTCAATATACAACAATCCTGAAGATGACACAAGACCGGGCAATGTTCTTATTCTGTTATATGTGAGGTTGCCACACATTGGCGCCAACTCAATGGCAACTAATAATAATATGGTATCATCAACTCCCTTAATATAATCATTTACAAATGGTTTTTACAGAGGTCAAATCTTGTGATGGGGATTATAGGCGCCATGGCTTCTGGACTCAGATTTGTCTATCTCCAAAGCTGAGGCCCTGCCCTGGGCTATTGTCTCTCAGAAAGATGGACAGACTGCCTGGTCATCCTGAGCAGCTGCAGAAGCCAAGAGACATCCTAGGAGGGCTAGGAATCATGGCTGAACACCTCTGATGAGGTGGGGAGGCATGAGAGGTAGAGGAGGCCCTGAAGACTCCAGGATCCACACATCTCAAGAGAAAAGGCATAAGCTTCCCGCCCTCCCAACTCCCACTCTAGCCCAGTCACCTCCCTCCGAACCTGTGCCTAAATCCCCCTGCTGTACCTTGGAGTGTCTGTCTCTTCCTCTGCCCCAGCACCCCAGCTGTGTAAGTCCCTTACCCCGTGTGTTTGGGCCATGAGGGACAGGAAGGAAGGGCAGTCCCAGCCGTAGGACCTCAACCCACACTGGATGGGTTCCTTGCATCCTCTAAGGTAAATCTGAGCCCTTTGTCCATTAATTTAGACTTAGCCAGCTGTAATTTTCTAAGCGAGGAATTGTTAGTGGAAAACATGCTTAAACAAAGCAGACAACAGGCTGGGTGAGATTGTACTTCCATCGGATCATGTTTCTGACAGAGGTGTACAATTTTCGGCTTAGCTGGAGAAGGATTGGGTCACAGGCCAGGAGGCAAGGCTGGAGCATGGGGTGGAGTTCTGCTTCCAGTAGCTCCCTGAGCAGCATGAGCTTCTCCCAGACCTGTGCTCACACCCATTCCTTGGCCTCTCCAGGCCTCACCTGGCAGGTCCTCTTGCACTGACCAACAGCTCTTCCTAAGGATTTTTACCATGAGTTCAGCCGCAGAGAAACCCAACACTTCCCCCAAGGCCAGGCCAGCCAGGCTCTCTAGAGGTTGTGCAGTTGGCCATCTCCTCAGCTTCAAAGGACAAGCAAGTGTTTCTGCCCAGTTCCTGCCCTGCTGGAAAGCCTCTATTCCTGCCCTGCCTCCTGAGCAGCTCCTTTCTGTGGCTGCCAGTGAGAGTCCTGGAGGGCTGGGTGGGAGGGTGGGGAGAGCGCATCCCACTTACTTCTGCTGAGACAGCACTGGCTGAAAGGAGGAGTGGGAGGACTTTGAGAGATGCAAGAGGATGGGCCATGGAGCCTGCATCATGTGCCTTATAGTGGGCTGACGTGTAAAATTCAGGTCCACCCATAAGTCCAGAGTGTGACCTTATTTGGAACTTGGGTCTTTGCAGACATACATTTGACCCTTGAACAACATGGGTTTGAATTGTGGGAGATTGACTTATATGGGGATTTTTTTTCAAGATATGCATCTTAGAGAAACACAGAGCTAATAGACACTGCACCGGAGGAATTAACAGAAGATAATATGAGGGAGATGAGTGTTTCCAAACCATTGCCAGACAATGAGGAAGAAGATAGAGAAGTAGCAGTGCCAGAAAACAAATTGACATTAGACAATCTGGTAAAAGGGTTCCAATTATTCAAGACTGCTTTTGACTTCTTTTATGACATGGAGTCTTCTATGATATGGGCACTGAAACAATAGCTGGAAGAAGGAATGGTACCATATCGAAATATTTTTAGAGAAGTGAAAAAGCAAAAAATTCAGACAGAAATTATGATGTATTTCCATAAAGTTACACCAAGTGTGCCTGCCTCTCCTGCCTCCTAGTCTACCTCCTCCACCTCTTCCAGCTCTACCACCCCAAAGCAACACAACCAACCCTTCCTCTTCCTCCTCCTCAACCTACTCAATGTGAAGACAATGAGGATGAAGATTTTTATGATTACTTCCACTTAATGAATAGTAAATAATCATAATGCTGTATAGTTAATAAACTTATCTACTATGTATGTGCATGAGTGTCTTCATATGAAAATCTAGTAAGTGCATGGCAAGAACTGTCTTCACCAACTGTTCATGTTATTGATAAGGCTTGCAATCAATAGTAGACTATTAGTAGGTAAGTTTTTGGGTAATCAAAAGTTATATATGGGTTTTTGATTGCACATGGGTTAGTACCCCTAGCCCCTGCAGTGTACAAGGGTCAACCATAATTAGGTATGATCAGGTCATACTGGATCAGGATGGGGCCTAAATCCAGTGACTGGTGCCGTAAAGAGGAGATGACCACAAAGACACCCAGAGAAAGCGCCATATGAAGACAGAGGCAGGGACTGATACATCTATAAGCCAAGGCCTGCCAAGGACTGCTGGGAGACAAGATGCTGGGACAGAGGCATGGAATAGATTCTCCTTCAGACGTCCAGAAGAAAACAACCTTGCTGACACCTTGATTCAAACTTCTGACCTCTTGAATGATGACAGAATAAATTTCTATTGCTTTGTGCACATCCTGTAATAAAGCCAGAGACCTTCAGGACAGGAATGAACACCTTGGGAATGTCAGAGCTGTGATTATCTTTAGTCACCAATAGTAGTCTTCACATTTTACAAGCCACATGGAGAAACTGGGACCCAAAGAAGCCAAAGTTATCTAAGAACTTAGGGACAAATCAAGGACCATAGCCTAGAGCTCCTGACACCCAACCTGGGTGCATCCCATCACCCCCTCCAGGCTCTGTCTACTCGCAGGGGGGCCCTTGGAGGTCACCTGCTATACTTTTGGTGGAACCCAGACTTTCAGGGTAACTACCACTCACTCCTGGGGTTTATGCAGGTAGTAACTTAGAAGTGACCTGCACTAGTTGCCTAGGCTGATATAACAAAGGACCACAAACTCCATGGCTCAAAACAATGAAATATATCCTCTCACAGTTCTGGAGGCTAGAAGTGTAAAATCAATGTGTCAGCAGGCCTGTGCTCTCTCTGAAGGCTCTAGAGAAGATCCTTCTTAACCTTTTCCAGCTTCTGGTGGTTTCTGGAAATCTCTGACTCGAGATGCATCACTCCTCTGTGGTCACATGGCCACCTTCCCTCTCTGTCTCTTTTCCTCTCCTTATAAGATACCACTCAGATTGGATTAGGACCTAGTGTAACCTCCTGTTAAATGATAGTATCTTCAAAGACCCTATTTCCAAACAAGGGGATAGAACTTTAACATATATTTTTTGGGAACACAAGTTAACCCATAACTTGAATGGAACTTCAATTGAATACTTTCTCAAAGGAATCTTATCCAGAGGCCAATGCATTAAATAGCCTAAGTCCACTCACTCTGCTCAGGGAGGGGAAGAAGGTTTCACTCATTCAGTCTGCCCCACAAATGCACTGAGGTCCTGAGGCTCACATGTGGGGCAGGACTGAGGGGAAGTAATGGAGCTGCAGGAAGGGATAGCGAACCCACCATGGAATTCCTACTCCGACACCACTCCCAATCCACAGGCCTCTCCCTTGTCCACCCAGGAACCTGTCCAGGACATCGGACAAAATCCTGCTGGGTAAGAGTACGAAATGATAGCAGCTGACAGTTAGTGAACAAGAATCACTATCCTTTCTGCGGCCCTAAGCACGAAGTGGGCACTTGCTTCCTGATGCCACATACCCTGTCCCACATCCTCCCACACAGTGCCACTTTCTCATGCCTTCCTGGCCAATCCTTTTCCACAACATGGCCTACTTGAGCCATCTTCCTAAAACACACGTTTGCTCCTGCCTGGCAGGCTTAAGGCCTGCTGTGGATCTGGGATGGAGACCTAGAATATGAAGATCCTGAGTATAGCACAGTATTTAAGAACTCAGACTCTGGAGCTAGACTGCCTGGGTTCATAAACCCTGCTCCTCAGTTAGAGCTCATTAAGCTCTTGGTGCTTTGCTTTCCCATCTGTAAAATGGGAAGAACATGTGGCTAGTAAGCCTGCTCGTGGTGGGTGATTTGAAAGTGTTAGCTACTATCATCTCTTCAGCGGTTTTTTGTTTGTTTGAACACAAGCCTCAAGTCACACTGCTCCTAGTTCCAGCCTCCAGGTTTTTGCTTGGGCCTTTGCCTGAAATATCCTCTTCTCCATGTAGTTAGTCATCTCTAAGTCTTTGGTGAAGACTCAGCTCAGGGATCTCCCCTCCTTTGGTTCAGACCAGGGTCTTCCTGGGCCCTTCTATCAGGGAACTTCTCTTCCTCTCAGGTAACTTTCTCCCCTCTGGGTCAGGTGGTTTTGAAGGCAGAATGTGTCATCCCATGGATGTGAGAAAGAAGTAAGAAATAAGAATGGGCCTTTGCATTATTGTGAAAACTTCCAGACATACTCACAAAGCCAAGAAATAAGCATAGCAAACACTATCCCCAGTTTTAACAACTGACATTTCTGACATTTTCTTCATCTATTCCCTTTTCCTTTTCATAGCTGAAATATTTTAAAGCACATCCTGGACATGTCATTTCACCTGCCCACTCCAGGACACGTCCATAAAATGCAGCCATCTCCTTACCAATGGCACTGTCATACCAAACAACATTAAAAATCATTCTCTGGGATGATTAAGACACAGTCCATACTCAAATTTACCCAATTGTCTCTCAAACAAAATTTTTTTAGAGTTAGTTTGCTCAAATCAGGATCCAAAGAGGGTCATGTATTACATGTGTTACTACACTACTTCTGAGGAAATGGCATGCCCTTGGACACGTTGCTGTTGTTTGAGGGTTCTTTCTGCTCTAATTCTGGCTGCCCCACTTCAGTCTTGTCAGAGGTCTGCAGGCATGGCTCACTAGAGACAGGCCTGCACTGTGCCTACACCTTGCCCCCTATCTCCCCATAGCACCCAGTCCCAGCTACCCATCACCTGGGAAAGCTGAGGGAGAGGGAGGGTGGCAGGGTGCTGGCCAGTCCTTTTTTCCTGCCCACAACTATGTTGTTGTTGTTATTTGCCGTCGAGTCGGCCCCGACTCATAGCGACCCTTCCTTGGGTTTCCGAGGCAGTATCACTATGGAAGTAGGATTGCCCAACC